GTATTTCAGAACTTGAATAGTTTCAAGATTATATTTTTAGTTCTTTATCATAACCCCTAAATCTGAACTATTAAAGTTTTTTTTTTATGGGAGAAAACGAGGTGGTACTTAGTTACAAGAACTCACTTGAAGGCTTGGTTTCATCTCTGTATTACTTTAGGAAAGTTCCACACAGCCTGATTGGGCCTCAGGTTTTACTTCCAAAAAATAAGGGTAAAATCCTTGCTCTAGCCTATCTCATAGAGATACAGTGAGGCACAAAGACCTTGAACTTGCTCTGCAGATTAAGTACTATGTACATTGCCCTTTTAACTGGCAGAAAAACTAGTTAACAGCTGTACTGGTAGCTGTATTTGTAGGCAAGAACAAAAAGCAAATGCTGAAAAGTTCCAAGTACTGTTCTATATAAAACTAAATACAAATGCCCCACCATCAGAAAATGCAGTTTACGAAAATATAGGTATATACTAGAGAACATTTTAGTCTAATAATCCATCTGGATTTTTTTCAGGTTGATACACTGGCACAGAATCTAAAATATCACAGAAAGAGGTACATTTCAAACTCTTTAACTTTTGTTTAGATTTAATATAATAATAAACGTCATTATCCCTCAGCAATAACTTAGATTCCTGGATCATCTGATGCCCAAATGTAAAATACGCTGTCAAAGTTCTTACTGGGATAAAAATTCCAATAAATAGCCTGAATAAAATAATACTGGAAATACGATTCAGTTTTAGAAATAAATGGATATAAACAAGGAAGTGTCAATACTAAATGCAAATGTCTGACCTAGCATCTTATAAACAGTTGCATAGCATATACGATATTTTTGTATATGACATACACACACACACACACACACACACACACTATATGTGCATATATCAGCAGCAAATATACTAAAACTGGAACAATACAGAAAATTTGCATGCTCCTGGGAAAGAATAACATGCAAGTTCATGAACTGTTCCATATTTCTGCATAGGGCATTTTTAGGGGAGTGACACTACTCTATATGATTCTGTAATGGTGGATATTATGCACATGTCAACATACAACACAGTGAAGCCTAATGCAAACAAAAGAGTTTAGTTAATAATATTGGTTATCAATTGTTAATAAATGAACCACACTAATGCAAAATGTCAGTAACAGGAGAAACTGTGTGTGTATGTGTACACCCGTGCTTGCACACACAGGGGTGAGGTTATGTGGCAACACTTGTATCTTATGCACAATTTTTATGTGAACCAAAAACAGCTTTAAAAATTAAAAGCTATTAAAGGAAAAAAACAAAACAAAACAAAGCTGAACTTCAGATAATGACAATACCCTCACCCCAAAACAAAAATCCCTACACCTAGCTGCATAAATTCAGCACTCTTTCCCAGAGATCCAGGAGACAAAGTGTTAATACCTGCATCTTTCTGGAGAGTCTTCTCTACCTTTCCTCCGGAACTTGCTGATGGTGTCATCAATTGTGCTTCCAATTTTATCACTCAGTTCACCTAATTTATCACTGAACGGAAAAGCACTCTTGTTTTTATCCCACTCCTCATCCCATTTTGATTTGGGCTCAGGATCGTATCTTTCACCTATATAAAGCATTAAAAAGAGAAGCAACTTTAAGGACATTAAATTCAAAAGGTGTCTATAGTCCTTATTTCTGAAGCTTTTCCTCATAATAAAATAGTTTTCAAAAGAAAACAGAAAGCTCCCACAGTGCTGAATCAACACAATTACAGCAAGGCACAGCATGCCATGCCAGTCATTAAGTGGCAGGAATGCAGATTCAAAAGCTTTTGTTTATGAAAATTTACACAACCTGAGCGCATAGCACAGCATATCAGGAAGTTCTTAAGGGCTGTTGAGAGGAGAAGAGGAAAATACAAAAACCAACAGAGGCTATATAAACAAAAGGGAAATGGAAATCTTTTTGCTTTTACAAAAGTCACTTAATGCATTATATTTCACTCCTATCTCAATGGTTTTTCAATTATCAGAAAAGTATTGGACAGCAAGTCTCTAAAAAAAACACAAACTATAGGAAACACAACTCTGAATGTGCTGAAAAGACTCCATGTGCTGAAAACACTCGTAAGTATCATTCTTTACTGTCAAACTAAAAAAATAACAATGGATTTCATGTCATGGGAAAGCATCTTTTAAACACTGAAAAAAGAATATTCTAACTACCAAAAACTATGCAGACTAGAATCATGAAAAATGCTCAAGCAGTTCAGAAAAGTGATGATCTATTCAAACACCAAGTCCACACACACGCTGAGACTCACAAAACTAAGGGAATCTCTATAAGGATTTGAGAATGGAGACAATAGATCATTGGCAGTGAACAAAAGCCCCAAATGTCAAGATTTGTTTTAGTCCTTGACCTTGGCAGCCTAAAGGACAGAGAGTATTTATAAGCACTAAATGCAACCTTTTACATTTCCATGTTGAAACTCAAAGAGGCAAGAGTTGAAGGTATGGAGAAATCATGTAAGGTTAAAAAGAAGAGAAGGTTAAAAATTAAGGCAGGTTGCAGAGAAAAAGGAAGGAGCAAGGAGAAATAGCAAAATAATCAAAAGGTGGTTGAGTGTTTTACACCCTGGTTAACAAGTTCTGATGGCATACAAGCCCTTTGGAAATTGAACAAAACCATTTTGTTGAATTGTTTGTTAAAACTGCAAAGTCAAAATATTCTGTTAAGAGTTTGAGGATTTAAAAACATCTACAAATCTGAAACTGACCATCAACTTAAAAAGAACATGACAAAATGTTTCCTAGACAAAAGTTTAGCCAGGATGGCTTTATACAAATGAGTATACAGTAATGTGTATGTACACTTCAATGACAATGTGATGAACTAGACTTTGCAAAGAAATAAACTTAGAGGAAAAATGAAAACTAAACTGATTAGTATGGTGGACATCATCTAAATGAGTGCCAAAGATACTGGAAAATGGCAAGACATTACTGTCAAAATGAAAAGCATGTAAAATAGTTAAAGTTGATTATTTAAGTCTCTGAATAATATATGTTAACATTAAAAATAACTTACAAAAGAAGGCAAGGCAGATACACATCATGTTCAACTCATCTCTAATGCAGATGCTGTATTTAGTTCACTGTGACTGAGTCTGAAAACTTAAATTGTCTAAATTAACCTAATTATATACTATGCTGATAAAAAAAAGAAGGGTTACTAGTAACTAGAACGAGAAATGAGTTGAATAGCAATTTCTACTCAAAAACACATTAAATTGCTAAAGCTACTTTGAAAAAGCTAAAGAATAAAATGCCTACTTGGGCAAATAATCTAAAAGCTTCTTACTCTTCTAAACAAATAAAAACTCCAAAACCTATTTATGTGATCTAAGAGAAATAATTTTGTTCAATTCAAGAACTAACTTTTATGTGATCTCAGACTTAAAAGAAAGGAATTTTTCTGCTGCTAGAAACATTAACCAATTAAGTATTTTTTCTTTGAGGGCAAGAAAGTGGAGAAGCAAAGCAGTGAAAATATTTTATAGATAATTACAAAATAAGAAATAGGAGATTATTACACAGTTGCAATGAAGGAGTTATGACATCTCAGTATAATCCAAATATAAACAAACTCAGATATGGGTAGGGCTGTGTATCTAAGTATGCACAGCACTGGCCTGTCTGACCAGGGACTGTCAGCGTTCACTGAAGACAGAATGAATCCAAAGGAACAAGCTGTGAAACAGAGTTCTTATTTTCTGTATCTGTTTCAAGCACCTAGTCATATATTGTAGAGAAACTATATTATTACAATAAAAATAAACATAAGAGATGAATGTTTGAGCCGTTTTTAAATATGTTAGGAACAATAAAGTGATAGGCCTAGGTGAAAAACTGATGGTATTGTCAGTCACCTTTTTCTACGTCAAATTAACACATTGCTTAACAAAGGAAAAGACTGAGGATGGACCAACTTGTATGAAGCTCATCTATTTCTGGCCAAAAATAGAGCTAAACTGGTTTCTAATTAGAAAGATCAATCTTTTGATCAAACTTTGTATTTTTTACACTCTAAGCAGTGAGAGAAACCTTTTCTTTTTTAGAATGGGAACCCCAAGAGGAAAGGGGATATATATATATACACATACACACACACAAATATATATATATCTGCTTTATTCTCTGTACATCAACTCAAAGTTTGCAGTTATTCAATAATGATTGATGCTAAGATTAAAATCGTATTTTTGAGCCCACAAAAGTAAAAAAAAATAGAAAGATTCCTAAGATCCACAGGAGCCAAAATGAGTATTATATATATCTTAGAATTCTACATAACCTTTTGAAAAATAGCATTTTTGTCTTCCATATTTCAATGACTCTTAAAATGCCCCCAGAAGCTAAACTGATGCTTAAGTGCTAGTTTGTCCTTGATACTCACTGTATCTGAATCCTCCAACACTGTCTGAGGAAACCCCAACATATTTGTCTTTGTTCTTCTTTGCTTTCTTTCGCTCTTCACGAAGCCTGTCGTCATCCTGGGCAAATTCAACCAATTCTTTCACCTTCTGGCGAATATTTATACCTTGATCCTTGCCATGCTCATCTGTGAGGATGGTAAGGGAGAAACAAAACCTTAAAATAATTCAGCTAATATGTATCAAACCCTCTAACAAAAAAAAAAACAAAAAAAAGACATGAAAATTTCAACACAAGAAACCAACTTCAATATTTTAAAATTAATAAAAAGAGGCAAATTGTTACTGAATTTTGTCATTTGCTCATCAGCAAATCTTAAGTCTTGAGGTGCAATTCTGGCTTACCAGAGTATGTAAAAATGAGCTAAAAAGGACCACAGATATCAGTGCCATGCAAAATCAAAGATTCACCAAAAAGGATTACTAATGATGACCACACAAAATGGACTAATACCCATAAATGTTTTCTTTTTTATGTAGCATTTTCACAAAACAAAACCTACTTTAACATTCTAATAACTGAAAACCACCCAAACCCCTTGGTTTCCCCAATACAAGTTTGGAAACACTAATTACCCAGGATTTAGTGTAGCTGAATAACTGAATTTTTATAAAGTGCTTTTAACTGGGGTATGCTACAAAATGAAATGTGGTTCATTCTGTATCCTCTTTCACATTCAAAACACACTCTGGCCTTGCTGCCTTTGCACAGTAAATATTATTTGGTGGGAGGAAAAAACCCAGCTTCAAACAGATGTGTGTGTTTTGGAGCTCTAACCTTTTCTTCCCATATGATTAAAGCTACTCCTTTATGGACACCACAGGGGACCAGTCTCCAGTGCATATTTTAATATAAACCCGAACACTCATGTTGTGTTGGTTCTGTTGTTATTAGCCAGTCTTTTCTGCAAGTTCTTGTCTTCACTAATTAATACTCTAGGGCCCCACGTCTTGGATTCTGCACTCGTCACACAACCAGCAACAGTCACATTCTAATTAGAGCGGAGAAGCTTCTAAGCTGGTTCAGGTGACTGACAACCCCAACTACTGTTTTAATTTGTTTGTAAGGTTTTTCTATTGCTCACCTACAAAGTGGTAATTTTCCAGGGATCGCAAATCATAAATGTGTTCTCTGGCACTTGTAACAACACGCTCTGATCCATTCCTTATGAGGTAAGCTAGGAGCAGCAATGACTGTAAAAATACAAAGCACCAAATGACTTAACAAAATAAATTCTGGAAGAGCTGTGGTAAATGGCTAAAAAGTAATTCTAACATTAGCAAATAAATCATCTTTCTGTGTGTGTGTGTGGGGGGGGGAGTTCTTTACCTTACATTAGAAAGTTTAAATTACATAGTCTAAAACTCGTATTATCAATTTAAAGTCCCTCTTATAACAAATAAGTAATACACACTTATAACAAATAGTAAATACACTGTCCACTGGATACTGCATGTCGAAAGATTAAAAAAATTCAGATGTTTAAAAAATCTGAATATATGATATAAATGA